TACTCACCATGGCTCCGAAATATACACTTTTGTAAGGGATCAAGAGTTTGTCTCTTAACCAGCGGTTCTTGGAATTACGTTGCAGAAGTCCCCAATCCACAACAAGATCCCAATATGTTCCATAGATTGCTGCAACAATTGAGAAAACCCCAGCAAGAATTTTCCAGTTCACCTCATTTTTAAGACTCTCTAGATTGTATGCTGTCCTCATGCTAACGGCTACTATTGTAAAGAAATATTTCAGCCCATTGTAACCTTGCATGGGATCTTTCTCTTCAACCAAACGGCGGAGGCACTGCAAGAAAATGGAACAGCAAACAATTCTAAGTGTCTGGCTGTGGCGGATAATGAAGCTTATGTGGACATTTGCAAGAAAAGAAGGGATAAGCTGTGTACCTGAAGGAGACGAGACCAATACGGAATACAAGCAACAATGAAAGTGAAAGTGTTGAAGACATCTTGTGATTTGCAAGTGTTTTGTCTGAGTTTGTAGTCTCCCCAACCATAATAGCAAACGTAGAATTGCAGACTTCTAATGGCTTGCACCTACAAGAAAACAATTTATTGACACTCAGTTTTTTCAAACAGAGAGAAGAAAAACAGGAAAATAATACGACTGCAATGGTGATTTAGGACTTAGTAGGATCATTTTACTGACCTGGCTAGTTAACTGATCTGCCAAGAAGAAATCCGGGAGTGTGACCTGAAAAAGAAGCAAAATTTCCAGATTATTAGACCATCCAACTAAGTTCATTCAGTTTCACTTCGAAGAAGAAGAAGAAGAAAAAAAGTGTCTTAAATTGACTTTAATTACCTTATACAGAGGAGCACAGATACAGTGAAACAGACAAACGAGGAAGAAGTAGCGACTTGAACGATATATGAGGTTGAAGGGGCATAATAATATCAAAACTACAAGCTGCATAAAAAGAATTTAGTTCAGTTTATGATCCTAGACCAATGCAGCTGCTAAAATGAAATGGTTGAATTTATGATCTTACCAAAACCAAGAAGAGAGGGAGAAGTTCGGTTAGTGCTTTGTAATCTTTGGTTTTGGGGTCCATCTCCATGTCAAGATTTGAGAGCACAGAAGCAAGTGCTAGCACTGCCAGACCAAAACTGAGAAGAAGAACCTCTCTGTAGCCCAACTCAGTTCCTTGCTTGAAACCAAATATGAAAGAGTAATTGACTCTGAACCGCCTCCAAAAGTATATGTTGCCGGCATACATAAACATGTGCAGAAAAATGAATCCAAACAAGCTGCAAGAAAGTTTAACATGTCGAACGAATTGAGTACTATTTTTTGGTTGGAAACTTGGGAAGAAGAGTAGTAGAGCAAAGGCCTAATTATAAGTACCTGTATAAGGGAAACATGTTATCCATGTACTGGGTTTTTCCTTTGTCAAATTCAGGATTGTTGGCATTGTTAATATTGCGAGCACGCACCATCAAAATAAGTGCTAATATAAGAGCAGCTGTGCAGCCAGCAAAGCAACCTAAAGATTTCCAATAAACAGATTCAAGGGGAGAAAATTGATACCAAAACTGTCCTTGTTCAGTGTAAAAAATTTAACTCTACTGATTTAGCTAGAGGCCTTACCCATGGCAAATGTTATCCTATGTCTTTCTATCTTTGTTTTTGGCCTCAAGACGACCATTCCTTTTCTGCGATTTGAGTTTGAGAAATAATTTATGAATGTAGTTTCAACCCTCTCCATAAGCTTGGTAATCTGCAGTGGTGGCAAGTGCCATATCAGAACAGAAATTCATTATATTTCAACATCGTCATAGAAAGATTTGAGGTTTAAATTGTTTTATCTTTCTTCTCTTTAGCATGATGCATGAAGAATTCTCACCTCGTCAGAGCTACCAAGGTAGGAGTTATCCACCATATTCATGTAAGATTTTGATGTATCTCTTGAAGTAATCTGCAAAAGTAATACAGACCAAATGAAATACTGACAAAGATTTTACTAATAACATGTAATAGCAAACATTTTTTCAGGAATTTCTGGTGTTGAGAAATACCTT